AATATAAGATCAACGACGACGTTAGCACTTAAGTTCTAAATTACTACTAATAAAGTAAACATAAAAATTGACAATAACTTAACAAGATTACAAACTGATAAAATTGAATATTATTGAGATCAAAAATTATATGTTATTCAGGATTACTTACAAAATTGAATTAAAACTATAACTAACATTTGGACGGAGAGGAAACTTAGTATTAGATGCCTAATAGAGCCTTTGCTAACAGTCATGAGGTCTGGTGGATTTTCACGCAATACCTTCTAGATACTTTTGTTATTATTTCATGTTTTACCAAATCAAAGAATAGTAATAATTGAAACAATCAAACACACGACGATTTCGTAATAATGTCAAGTATTGTAAAATCGACTGCAGTGACAAATATAATACAGATTACTATTAATAGCGTGTATTGTACAGACAATTGTTAGAGATCCTAATCCGATAATAATGTAAGTTTAGATGCGTAATTAGTTTTCATTATTTGTGTGTGTGTATAGCAATTGACAAATATCACAGCTCTTTCATAGTTTAGTGAAAAAACCCTTTCAAATGAAATGTAGATAGATTTGTATTGCCAAACCAATTTGTAGATTTTTATGAATTATTATGAAATGGTGCCATGCCACCTGCGCTAACAGCGGGTGGACCACGTCATATTTTCCACTGGCGAGGCACCAGCGGCGAATAATAGAACGAGGTTCAAGTTTCAAAGGAGAACACATAACTTAGACCTTCATAGTTAAACTTTAAATTTTTATATTATTTGTTTCAGACTTGTCTGTTCAAAAGGGATTTCCCTTATTGCCATACGTGGTCTTACTCAGCGTGGTTCCCTAATGTTTTTATCAACACAACTTCTCACAAATGTGTTTAACTATCCATGAACCATGGTCCATAACATACGAAACATAATCTCTGCGTTTGTGCCAAAAATATCCTTGACATCATAGCCGGTGTGTCTACAACTTCAGCTTTATGGGCCATCACATTCGTCCGGTAGAGCATCGTAAATATCATATAGCAGACATCTGCAAATGCAACTAAATGCAAAATACATGCGACGGTAGTTACGTAGGTACTATACGTGAATGCATCAGTCGCACAATAAGTTTATCATGACTAGAAATATTTATATAGTATATTTATGTATTTGTCAGCAGGTAGTACGGAATAGAATATTCGAAAAATTGTAAGGATATGTGCAAATTATGAGTTAAGTAAAGATTGCCTATAAAAAAAGAATTACCTGAATAGAGTTTCTTACTGTTTAGGTACTTACTTCCATTTTACTTAATTATTGACAAAAGGAAGATTTTCACTCAATTTCTTCCTTGTAAAGCTAGTTTAAACACAGTTAGTTTGTTATGAAACAATATATATATATATAGTTATAAAATAATACATGTACATATTTATTATGATTTAGGACTGAAACATAACGAGCTATATATATACAATTACATCCATATTCAGATCCGTTCTGAGTACTTTAATTTTATTATGTGTGTGAGTAGGTCTATAATAGACAAGTATGACCTGAACTATGTATTTAAAAAGCCCCGAGTGCTTCATTTAGATATTGGCAAATTTATCAAAGCATACAGTAATTTTCTCTGTATATACATAATGAAACAAATATTTTTTAAGCCTAGCTGTAAATCTCTGTGTGTACCAACTGTACTAACATCTAATACTGCCAGCACAAAAGCTGGCAGTGCTACCAATACATATGTTTGTAGTTCAATAGGTAGCGAAAAATGGTTATAGGCGGTGATTCCCTCACAGGTTATTTTATATATATTATTATTTTAATAAGTAAGAGGAACCATAGATAGATTTAAAAAATAAAAATGAAACATCGACACAAACGTCATTTCTAGCCCGGATGAGTACTGAAATAGGTACCTACCGAGTTACAAAAAGTCCTAAACATTTTCTCGTCAATTCTTTAAAGTATAATTGGTAGAAAAGAACCACCAACTGCAATAATTGAAAAACTGTTAAATTCCATACAAGAACCTCCTTTTCTTTTGAACATCAATCGAAAACAACTTAATGCTTATTGGTGACTTTTGACGTATTCTAATACTGAAAGCAGGACGTAGGGTCACGTTGACAAACATGTATGTTAAAGACTGCAAACAATGAAGTGTATTAAACAACTTCACTACCACAGATAGACACTGCATATCGTACAATCACTCTAGACACTAAGGCGTCGCATCCAGCCATTCTGAGACAGCCCGACGCCACAAATCACAATACTAGCTGGATCCATGCACTTGTGCACAACTTCAAAGCGACTTCAGATGTCTAGCGGTTTAACACACTGCCTTATGTCCGATGGTTGCAGGTTCGATTGTGATTTCATGAGCGTAAAGGTTAGTATAGGTCTGGGTGTTTTCTATATTTACTGTATTTATTTAAGCCATAATCAGCAGAGTACAAGTTAAATAAAGCTGTGTGAACTGTCTTTAGTTATTATTATTACTATTACTTCTACTAATTAGTAGAACACACTCACATATTACTAGAATTATTAGCTACTAATTTTTTCTATGATAATAGTATCAAATTATGTTTGTTCCAATGTTTGAGTTATAACTCTTCTTCGACTCTACGATTTTAAAATCGTTGTTTCATGTTTTAATCTAGCTTATCGCCAAAAAGATATAGAATCTATATTATAGATAATGAATATAATAGGAATTATCTATAATATATTCCGGTTACACGTCAGCATAATGAAAGTGATAATCCAGAATGGATTATAATTTATTCTACACAAACAAAAGTTAAGTTGCAGTTTTCATTTGGTATAATTTGTTAATTTTACTTTGAATACTAATAAAATATGACCTATATGTAATTTATTTTTTTTGTAAATTTTATACCAGGAACATAGGTTTTGAAATCATCATTCATCTTTTCAGGAAACTAAATAAACGCATTAGATTCATAAAATATACTATGTAGTGGATCATCGGAATTAATGCTTGGTTTTTAGGAAAGTCACAAGGAATTCATGAAATCATGAAAGTGGACATCTAAAGAAAGTTATAGTTTCTTTAGATGTCCACTTTCTATTTATAAGGTATTTACATAACTAGCGCGGGCAAAGGTAAAGGCAAACAATTAGTCACTGAAAACAATGAAATAAATTCGTCCCCCGATCCTATTTTTGATTTGTATGTACAGGGTACAGGGCTATCACTGGTTTCCGGAGTTTCCGAATACGTAAATCCAAGAAGTAAAGTGTAATTCAAATACAAAATAATCCAATTGAACAACACATATTAATGGGACAAAATTGTAATTAAAAAATAATAGTACAATTCTCCATGTAGTAACTAGCAACGAGCATATTACACATGTGCCGCCGCCGCGCCGGTAGGTAGCAACTAGCAACACATAATTACATAAAAAACACCTCACGGTGGCCAGGCCAGTGGTCAAGCACAGGGTCAGCGGATCTGTGAATATTGCGTACAATATTTATTTTTGCTCTACGTTATAAAGGTAAAAATAAATGATTACTGATATCGAAAAATAAGTATTTAAGTTTTTCAATGGTTATAGAATGTTTACTACATTCTATAACCATTGAAAAACTTAAATATAATCTGTGAATATTGCGTACAATATTTATTTTTGCTCTACGTTATAAAGGTAAAAATAAATGATTACTGATATCGAAAAATAAGTATTTAAGTTTTTCAATGGTTATAGAATGTAGTAATAGTTTTATTCTATATAGTGTAGTCTAGTCTTTAAGAAGATATTACACAGCCAAAAGTTTCGGCCTTATTTATGGACACATTTGATTATGTATTGTAATATTTACACCTGTCTATAAAATATACAAAGTGTAAAACAATCGGGACCTGCATTTTTATTTATAATTAAATATGAATGTCTTTTAATTAAGTATTTCTTCAGATTAGGTCTATTACATGTAACACTGACTTAATTAACTTTATCAATTTTACTATTAATTTGCAAACTACTCTACTCGAAACCTTTACAAGTCTTTACAATATATGTAGATGCGATTTTTTTTTAAAGGATGATCATGGAATGGTGCACCCTCCTGCGCTAACGTTTTACGCTGGCGTGGCACCAGTGGAGGATGATAAAATGAACATGAAGTCAGATCAGTTAACCCAACGTGACAAATTCACCAGGAATGTATCACGATGGTTTCCAGGGGGAACCGCGTGGAGGTCGATCTGACATGGTTCATTGCTAGCTATGGGATCATTAGTCCACATTACTAACAATCCCCTTCCCCCCTGTAGATGCGATTCGAGAACCGTAATAGCTTACAGAGTGATTAAAGGATGACTACAACAAGACATGTGACAGTTAGAACTTTGGGTTATGCAGGATAAGATTGTGGAGCTGAGTATAGTTTTAAAGATAGCTGATGTCACACTGCGGAATGATATGTGACATATTATGTGCAGACCACGGCTAACGTAGCCAGCCAGCTCCGTCTAAAGCACAAGATCACAGGAATGCCTACCTTGTCGTAGGAATTCAACAAACTACCAGAACAGTGCAGCTCCGTATAGAAGACAATAATATAAAAAATTAAACACATTGTAAAGTTACGCAAGCGATAGTTTTGACAACGCCAGATGCTAATTCTTTGAACTTAATTTGGAGAGTGGCCCGCTATTGTCGGTTTCATTATTTTAACAATTTTACTATTCAATTTTAGTAAGTAGGTATTTATATTAACTTAGTATTTCACGTCTAAAAAAACCTATACAAGTAATTTATTTAACTTATTCTCATATGACAACAGTATTGAAACAGGTATACTGGTTAATCTTTAATCTACTTGACATAATATGTATTTATCAGTCTATTATTACATTATGTTGTCACATGCAAAAGGGAGGCATGCAATAGAGCTGTCTTATAAAAAATAAAAATACGTCAAAATTAATAAACAATTCTTTTATTAGATAAAATATTAATCTTAATAATAATCAATCTGCATAAATGTGGGAATGCTTCATAAACCCCACATATAAAAATACATTTTAATATTTATACACAAAAATAAGCAATCATCTCAAGATGATGGCATAATGCACTATGGCTGCGTGTATGTTAAGGCACGATGATGGAGGGCTACGCCCCGGGCGGCGCCAGGCGGGCGTCGGCGACTAGATCACAGGAGGTTTGAGGCTGAGCCCCGTCGGCATACTCTCATCTGAGCGGAGCCGGGAATGAGGGCATGGCTGCGCACCAACGTGGTGCTGGACAGGCGGTTAGCGCGCACCCAGCCGCGCTCTGCACTGGCACGAATGCAGAAACGTGTACACCACTCGACACAGGTAGAGACGCTACAGGTGCGCTTTCTTCTTCTTCTTCTCCAAGAAGATATGGCCGGAACAACTTGAAAGGCTTGCGCGGTGGATCAGGCACAGGTGGACACACTGGTTGTGGTATTGGTGATAGGGGTGACCGACGTATTGACAGATCGATCGGCTCGCTGATAACTGGAGGCATGGGCATCGGTACAGCCGCCGGTAGCGGCGTGGCCACTGACACTGGTGTGGGTAGCGAAGCCGGCGGCGGTGACGGCAATCTGGCACTTTCTGGCGACCCAGCTGAATACGGCGGCGGTGAAGGTGCTGGTTGTGGAGCTCTTCTCAGTAGTGCTGCTCTGAGTGCAGGTTCTGCTTGAAGCCACTTTTGAATTTGTCGACGATGAATGCCAAACTTCCTGGCCGTAGCACGTTGATTACCGCGACATTGAGCATCGCGTCTATATGCTTCTAAAACTTGTAGCTTGAATTGTGGTGGAAATATACGTCGAGAACCAGCACGGCCCTCTGGACGACGGTCTGAGGGCGCTGGGGCAGAATGTGTGTGGGCGGCTGCCATTTTGCAATAAAAACGTGTATACGTGACGGCTGACGGCGCCGAACTGACTGCTTGTTCATTCGGTGCGGCGAGGATGTTGGCGGCGCGCCGCTGCCCACCCGACATGAGTGTGCGACGCAAGCCTCGTATACTATTAGGTAAAGTTTACACTGTCCATCAAAATTAAACATTATTTAGCATCATGCGATAATCTAATAATATTGTGCTACATGTATTCTATATTATATAGAAAAAATATTAAGCAAGACATTACCAGATTTAGCATGGCAGCAAAATAAACTAGTATACCTAATGTGTATTTAGTTGACCTGTAGCCACCTCTGAGAAATTTACATAGAATATTATAAATTATTATTTTATTGCTATATACTCCTTAAGCCTAGCAATATCTCGCGTAGCTCAAAATCTTAATAGTATTTTTAATACACCTATTTTTCTATGAATTACTACTTCTACTGCTAACTAAATTTACAAATCTAGCCAACATCAAAGAAACAGATGAGTCAGAAATATAAATTTATGCTCAATATTAATTCATATTTCTGATTCACTCTTTAATCATAGGAATACGGATAATGTATCAAATTAAGGTGGCGGTAGTATCACTTACTACCACGTTGGATTCATATATACTCAGTACAGTATACTATACTAAGTACATATACTATACTCCTGTTATCATTTATTGTTACGAGTCTACGATACATACGATACAGTACAATCGTAGTACATACCAATTACTTGTCACAGGTATCGAGCATATTGAATATATCTGATACACTGTCGCGTTAATAATTATGTGCAAGTTTTATTTTAAAACGTAACATGGAATTTCTTAATATGTAAATATCGAATATTGTTAACATTTATATATTTTATTGGCAGTATGTGTGAGCAAGGGAACATCATACGAATCATATATGAATAAAATTAAAAAATGTAAATTGATCTAAAGTACCGAATAATGGCAGTAATTACTCCATAGGACAGGGCTTATGTAGCAATAACGAGTGCAAGCAATAACAAATGCTAGTTTACTTGTGAGTGAGATACTTTTTTCTTTTAACCCTTTACTTATTATCATCGGATTCTTAGAAGCTATCTTCACATATTCATTTAAATAACTCCGGAATTTACCGTTGCGACAATGATTGTCATCATACTGATCATAATAAGGGCCGAGTTTCTAGACTGTAATATATTTAAGTATAGAAAATAATAAATCAAGGCATCCTTGTGAGCTGTACTGAAGCAAGTGAATTAAGTGATGTTCCAGTCCTACACGTGAATATGTTTAAGAATTTTTTAAACTTACAGAGCAATGTAAATTTAAAAAAAAAAATTTTGTCACCAGTTTAAAATGTTTTTAGCCAACGTATAACAAAGGGTATATTGTTTGTTACTAAAATAAATTAGTGATCACAACATTGTGAACGCGACTTTAACCAGTAATCTCGCCTCATTCTCGGCGTGAAAAAATGTCGTAAGTGGGAGCCGATAGCTCGTAGCGCCACCATTGCTATTCTTTTCACTCGCATAAGTAGACAGAAGTTAGAGCAAGATAGCACATGTCCTGCCTCGGTCGCTGCCACATCCGTTTACGAAACAAGTTTGCATGCGAGGTTGCCGTATTGTGCGCGCGGGCGGTTCATGAGTTAGGAGGGGGCGCGGGCGGACAAGAATGTGTACGATGTGGCAACGTAGCCGACCGCGGCAGACAGGGTGTCGCCGGCTCGCCGCCGTAGACAGGCCGTCGCTCGACGGCGCTAACCCCCTCCTACACCCGCTCACACCCGCGTTACCCACAGCGCACATCAACAAGTTATTTCGGCTCAAACTTATGCGTCGATAAAAGATCTTAAGTGATACTTTCAGTTTAGCTAGTTACTGCTTCTTGCCATGTAACAGTCACTTAGCGCCATCGCTGTTTCGAGGAAAGTTGTTTTTTGTGTGAGCGGCAGCAAGCGGCCGCCTGCCGCGCCGCGCCTATCTCAAATCCAGCGACCGTGAAAACAGCAACTAACTCGCCCTTTACAATAAAGAATATTTAAATTAAATTAAATATGTATCGCATTGCTAGTATTTATGTCTTTAACATTATTACACAGTATTCGATCTTCTATTTGAAACAGTAAACGTTTAGATATACTAACAATAATAATAATAAATTAATTTACCTGGAATACAATAATATAGGTACTAACGACGAGCTTACAATTTTGAAAAAAATGTAAGTGAACGCGCAACACTAACGCACTTTTCTGTTAAGTTTGTAGGTAGCCTACTTTTATATTCTTTCGACTTGTTGAAAACTACTACTAATCTAAGCTATTTTATATCTTGAGCACTTAACTAATTAACATAATCCTTCCAATTTTGTTTAATGGTTAGTACGTGAAATACCTATTTAAAATACCGAAATTAAATAGGTACCTGCATGTACTCACGTAATACAAAGTAAATATTGGGTAACAAATATTCATCCACACATCCTTTCGCTTTAACAAAATTGCTTAATACATAATCTATCGATTACTATTACAAATACTCCATAGTAGATACATACTTTTTGTGACGTATACTTATTATAAAGACAAATGTGTCGCTAGATAACTTTAAAAACATAGGTAGGTACATATAAGTTAATATATACGTATTCAGTTTGCATTTTTTCTATGACTAATAAAATAGTTAAAACATTATTCGTAGTTATATTTGCAACACTTTTATTTGTTTTTGTTTATATATTATAATATATCAGTTATCTGAAAAGCAATGAATAAACAATTTTTTCTTTCTTTCTTTTCATACTACACCTATTTACTTCAGATTGTTTAATTTTTTTAGCAACTCATTGCCATCAATTTGACAAATAGAGATAATTTCTCGTCTAACTGTAATGAAAGACAATATAAGCTTGAATTTAGATGTCAATTATTGTTTTGAGTAGGTACCTATTTCATTTGTGTATAGATTTTTACTTATATAGGTACTACATACAATTTTTCCTCTTGACTTTTACACTTTATGTATATAATTTTCAGGTACCGTCATATGAAAATTAAAAGCATAAGTAGGGAACCTACTTAAATATGAACTCGAAAGAATAATAGCGTCTGAATATATACACCAGGCTGACTAAACAGGAAAATGAAGCCATTTTCCTTATAGTTACTTAGATCAAAGAAATAATTTAATTCATGCTATTGGCAATAAGTACTTATTGTAATATCCTCACAAGTTATATAAAAGTATACTCAATTAAAAATAAGTCTGCGGCCTTTATTCCTCTACTTAGGGTATAAAATCCCTCCGTCAGTATCTCTAGCCACTAAATTTAACAATAGATAAGAGAATGTTACATAATTTAATTTAGGTCTTGAAAATTGACATTAGTCAAATGCCCAAACCTAATAAATAAGAGTAGCTACATAATTAAAAAAAAAATTAACCGTGACATGAAATAGTTGTCTATGTCACGTTTTCCACCTCCTTCCTCCTTCCTCCACATTGGTTATGGAATACCCATATAATAGTTATAATTATTTTGCAGTTTTAGTTAAAGTTTTCTTATCAGAAATATAAACATGTATGAAAATTTCTTTCAAACTCACATTTAAATATTTCAGTTTGATATTGTATTATTATTATATATATAGTATTCAATACTGCTTGGAAATTTCAGTTTCATATTTAGTAGAAACTGAAATTTCCAAGCAGTTTAGACATAGTTTTGACTTCAATCTTGTGTCAATACGGTTGCAGCTAACACTAAATATAAATTAGTATGTAGTAGATATATACTAACTTATTATAATATATTTTTATTCATTGGGTAGTAACAATATTCCGTGGAATTGTTTTGCTTGATTTTTTTATCAGCAACAAATACGTACTTGTTCTGATGTATTATTTCGATCAGTGTTCACATAAATACCTACAGTTTTATTGTCTACTTATACTACTATTTATCTATCTACATGTAGAATTAATTTATCAGTCTATCTATAGTCTAGTATAAAGTCACAACAGGTAGGGCAGATTTATGGGATTTAAATAGGTATCGGTTACATAACAAGTTGTAGAGACGTAAGGACGTTTGAAGTTAGAATTAGATCAAAATATCGAAGAAGGATCTAGAGCAGGGATGAGATACACGCGGCCCGCGGGCTGCTTGCGGCCCTTCAAACATATCTAAGCGGCCCGCCAAGTATTTCTAAAATTGAATTTATTGTTTCCACTCTCTCCCATCAATATATAATATTATAAACTTATTTATAATAGAGTGGTAGTGCATACTAATCCTAAAATAACTTCGTCCTACGGGTTACTCACTTGTCGGCGCCTTGTTCACACATGCAATACGAACGCGCCGAGTCTTATGTTTATTATAAATAAAGTTTTGTAAATTACTGATAAGAGTTACTTTATGTGCATCCCATTAAAATTTTATTCGACCCATTGATGAAAAAGATTGCTCACCCCAATAATAATATTACATAGTATAGACAGATAATAATATTAAAAATCTTACCATTAATGACAATTAATGGCTTTGAGTAGTTAAACCACAGATAACATAATATTACATAGTTAAACTAAGTATGTGGTAAAGACTGAAATGTCTTCAATTTATTGGTCGTGTCGTGCGTGACTGTACAAATTTCTGAACCACTCTATCCGCCAACGGAACATCAGTATCGGCGTCGCACCGAATGCCATAGATTAAGAAAAAAAATAATAATCCATTCATGCTAATAAGGGGCCCCATCAGGCGATGATTAATTTGGTCGTACTAGTTACTACATTTCCTATATTAAACAAGTTACATCATTAAAATTATTGCATCTGTAATGAACAAATGACTGAGCGACACGATAGTACAATATATGTACCTATATAGAAGTAACAGTAGGTAGGTACTTAAATTTAGTAAGGTAGAAATTATGCAATATGGATTACATAATAATTTACATTATTTACATTAATATCAAAGCATATAGGTACGTAAGCTAAAGGAAAATGACACATGGGGCACTCTATTTTAATCAATTTATTTATTTATTATT